ATACTCCAAAAGACAATAAGGAAGTATCGAAAAGAAGTACAAGACAGTATTGTGAAAATTGCAAAAAGAAAACCGTTTTTGAATTATAATCACCGAAGCATCTGAGAATTGATAAACGTTATGCAGACAATCGTGGAGTCATTCGTAAGTAACCAATAGCATCATTCACATCATTATGCCTGTACCAGTGAAATATAAGTGTACTAAATGTGGAGGAGAAACAAATTATCCGAATATATTATGTTTAGAATGTATAGTTGAACAGATTTCACGTGACGTATATGGTATAAAACATCCCTAATACAACTGTTACGTCTAGTAGTAATCGAGTTGCTTTCAAAGAAACACACACAGCGATAAAAATATGTATTTGTTGTACATTATTCTTCTACTTTCACAAATTTGCAACATCCTAACTTCAAAAGTTATTTATATCAATACACCATACAAGTTGGAAAATGGTAGCTTTTTATTAATGGAAGTACATCCAGATACGATTATTTTGAATGAATATCCAGCTTTCTACTCTGAAAAATCAATACCGTTATGTAAGATAAACCAACAATATTCCTCAAACATTTTTGTAATTATTCTTTCATTTTTTCAGATTCTACGGTAACATGTAAGGACAAAGGAAAAAAGTATAGGTGCGGATACGTTATTGGATCACACGAAAACTTTCATCCCATTGTTCCATTCAAAAGCCGATTAATGTGCGGACATCATAGCATTGAACAATTCCATAAACCATCCATAACTTACAGAGGTTTCTGGTGGACAACTGTTGAAGATTTTTATGAATATGCAAATATTAATCTCAAAAAATATTTAGCTTTACCAGAAATTTGTTATGTATACTTATTGTCATCTAAAAAAGATGAATTTTTGAAAATAACCCATACATTGTGAATACCTACTAATTAATAAACGTTAATAAATTACGTATTTCCTTTTTCACAATATTCATGTTCAATCATACATATGACCCTTAAGGTCAGCTAATCTGGTTAATTATCAGTGAAACACCAAATATTCCAACGAAATGCAACAAAGTATTCAAGTTTAATTATACATGTGACCTTAATGTCAGTTAATCTGGTTTTCTATCAGTAAAATAACAAATATTTCAACAAAATGCAACGAAAATATCCTAATTAAGTGCAACAAAGTATTCATGTTTACTCATACATATGACCTTAAGGTCAGCTAATCTGGTTTATTATCAGGCAAACAACAAGTATTCCAACGAAATGCAACGAAAATATCCTAATTAACTGCTACAAAGTTGTCTCAAGGTCAACTGGCGCACTGACAAAGTCATCGAATAAAACACATTGGTGTACGCCTGGGTACATGGTTTAACGAAAAGGGGTCGCCTGATGAGGATGCCCGAAGAGGGTTGGCCGAAGAGGGTTGGCCGAAGACGATTCACTGAGCCAAAAGGTATCTAATACGACACGGCTAACCTACACCCGCTGAGGCCTGCCTCTTCTTACAACACCCTCTGGTCATTGACCATCTTACAACCCTCTGGTCATTGACGATCTACAAGAACAAGGGTTGCTCAAGAACTATCACATTGTCAACACTAATCACCATTGTTCTTCGCCAACAAGGCCTTTTTGACACACTTCTTCACCCCAAACAACTGCACCCCTCACACTCTCGATGGACAGCTCGATGGCATGGTTACCATTGTATCTAGAACCACGTTAGCTATACTACTATCATTGAACTAACCTCCCCTATTTGTCATGAATTAAAATTTTAACACTACACTCACTACTATCACACGCCTTTGAATAAAAATGAGGAAAAAATCCGTAAACAGACAGTTTGCGGATTTTTTTCCTTATTTCTTTGTTCATTTTGAATTCATAGGGCCTGAGCCCTATGAATTCAAAATTCCCCCACATCTGTCTATGGAACTGGAAGACAGGTCTCAAAAAAAGTGTGCATATTGGTATGTAGTCAATAGTTCTGAAAACAACAGGTGTGTGGTCTTTGTATATCATCTATGAGATGAAATGACTCTTTTCGGGACATTCTTCACTTGAAAATGTTGAAATATATACACGATATATAAATATCAAAGGAGACCTTCATTGAATACCTCCATTGATTAAAGATGATTTTCCTTATGGAATTTCGAGATGGTTTGAAATACATGTATACCAATTTTTGTTGGAAATTGAATCGTGAACAA